ATTGGCCTAGATTTCTCTAGCCATGGAAAATATGGAAAAGACACGCATTTTTGCCTCTCCCGAGCTTTTAAAGAGAGGTCCTGTAAAGGGGAGGGCGTTGCAAGCATCTTATTATTCAATGAAACGTCATTCAATTGATAAACTTTAGAGATTTTGATTCGTTAAAAGGATATCGCCACTCTGACGGTGGGAAGTTTTTGGGGTATTTTAATGTCTACTTCATTTACGAATTATTAGACCATTAGCTTCAGAAAATAATCTTTTATCTGGCCGTATCTGGTTCATCTTGACTTTTTATGGCTCTTTGTGAGAGACCGACTTCCACATCTTAAACTTGATAAGAAACATATGTTTTAAGCTTATCGGTTAGTATAGAAAGACTCGCCTGAGAATTTCTATATTACATATATATATATATATATATATATATATTGTATAGCCAAGTGTGTAGCTCTAACGAGACGTAAATAAAGCAGTACTAATGCTGCTGCCTCCTGCAATCAAGCAGGTTTTAATCCTTTTAATCTCAACATTGGGTGATAATGGTTTGCTGAACATCAAAAATGCTTTTTTTTTTCAATTAAACTAGTTTTTGACTCTTAAAGTGCATTTTTATTCATATTTTATTTTGCGAGGAATAAAAAATAATAGCACCTATTAAAAGTTTTTAGGAAACCACATTTTACGTTTTAATTATTTCAATTTACTTTTAAGTACTTTTTAACTTTAAATAGGTTGGAGATTTATCAATGATAATTTATAGATAATTTGACTATTTTAGATGATTTATCGAAAAACTCCTTAAATGTGATTTAATTCGCGGTCGCAACGCTCTAGTACGCCGTCTAGCGGGAGCCTGTAAATATCAGACATTAATTTATCACGTTTTCATTTAGTTCCATCAAAATCATTGACTGAATCAGGCGCCATTTTTTAGCAGCAAATANATTAAATAAGAAATTGTCTAAGTTTGTATATAATATATATACAATCCATCATTAAACACCATCATTAAATCATTAACACCATCATTAATCCATCATTAAATATTTATGCGAGCTAGAAACATTATATGGATTCATCAGCCACTGCCAAAACTCAACCCTCGTAGACTGAAGCTTTGTTAAATTCTCTTCATAACCATCTTATGATATGAACATAACAATTTATGTTTTGTGTTTATAACACTAATTGAATTTACTAGATACGGAAAAGTTACTACTTAAATTTTAACTTATAAATATTGCCTTTTTATTTATTCTGAACATTTTATAATACCAAATGTTTATTTTCCCTTTCAGACAGAAGGGAATTTCAAAGGGCGTATTAATTTCGCAAAACTTACTTTGCATGGAACAAAAATGAAGCCACGTCATATGGAAGGTGAACGAAAGCGATATGTGGATGACGATTCCATGGAATACGTCATAGATAGAATTCCAGTGAGTAAAATTTTTCACAAACAAGTCAAGACATACACAGTAGTCAATGAACAAGTGTCTCTGATATCAACAGCCTCCATTTAAGGTTAAAAAAGACGGTCACTTCTCAGAAAAGAATTGCTAAAATTTTCTGAAACAATTATAGTTTTTCAACTATACAGCAGAGTCATAAAGTTTTTCGGGTTTTGGGAATTTGGAAAATTTTAAATGACTAATATTCACCATTTCTATTTTATTTTGAGGCCAGGATAGCCTGGCTTATAGGGCGTTGAGTTCATGTCCAAGAGGTCATGAGTTCGATCTTCTCCTGCTGAAGATTCCAGTGTGGTAAATGGTGACTGGTGCACGTTAACTCTGTTGGATCCTAAAGCCCTTCATGTTCTTGTAACAAATCAATACCACTGGAGGTACTGAATGTACCTCCAGTGGTATTGGAGATTAATCGTTCTCCGGTTTAGGTCAAAATTACGATCTGTGGATGAATAAATAGGTGGGCCCTGTAATTGGGCTGTGACGTGTGTGGGACTGAAGTCGTATACTTGGCCATAGATGGCACCGCTGAAAAATATGAAACTCACACTCTGCCTTAAATATGCTTGGTTACACCAAGCATGCTTGATGGATTGGCAAATCGTATTAGAAACAACGACAACAAAATTTATTTACCAGGATCTTTTTTGTTATTCTGTTCGTTAGATTAGTTTTATTAATGGTTATTAGGAACCGTCTTAAAATGGTTTTCTTGCTTTCTGTTATTTCGCTGGTTTCTTTGAAATACTTGTGTTAGTTATAGATTGATTTGTATTCCATTCCATTCTCTCTAAAATCCTCAAGGGTCTTTTTTATTATATTTTGAAACCAGTGCTGAACAATAGACCCAGTTTTCAGTTTAGGGCTATCAATGTTCAAAGCCATAATCTTGTAACTTTGAACCCAACCCACAAGATAAGAGGGGTAGACTATATTTGAGGGTGCCCCTTGATTCTCGCCAAGTTGTGATCGTGATTGATTGCCAAGCTAAGCGATGTTGGAACCCAATCGTCATTTTGATTGGTTCAGATTTTAGTGTTATTTTTAAATGTTCAACGGTAAAAGTAATTTCAGAGATCCGTTAGTTCTACGTTGGATACCGGCTGGTAAGGTTACCTTTGTTTCTGGTCAATAAGATCGAAGGTATGTGGGCAGTCATAAAAAAGGACTTTAGAAAAAAATGTCACCGCAAGTCCAGTATTACAGACGCAATTTTCGATTCGTATTTCGCGGAATTTATGTGACGATGAATGTACACAGATTATATTCATGATAAATTTAGACATTATCTGACTGTTATTAGAGAATTCTGCGCACCTAAATCTGAGAAAAGCTTAATGAAGAAGTGAGTTGCTTATTCCCTTTTCTTTCTACGTCTACTCCATTAATTTTTGCTTCGATTCAAAATGCCTTTTATTGGCTTTATTAATTTGCTTAGATTTGGTTCATTGCAAGTTTTGGCCGATGTTTTGCTGAATTTTTCCAATGTTTTATTGAAATATCATTATGTTTTGGCCGCCATTCCTGTTACCACAGTGTTCCATGCAAACTGGAATGGTGCCAAACATAAGTCGCCAATTTCGCCAAGAAGCACCCTCAAGTATATTTTTCCCGATAAGAGAACTCCAAGATCAAGCATTGACATAAATGAGCCTTCAGGGAGAAATATTTTTGGGAGTCAACTGGAAAAACCCTGAAAACATACCACGGTTTGTTCGAAGGCAAGGAGATTTTAATCCCTTACAGCTGAAGATATTTTAAGGGAGCACTGTGGTCGGTGCGTACTGAGAGCAGAATTTGAATTAAACAGTCACCAGAGTCTGATCTGAATAACCTGAGTCACCGTATTAAGAGACTGTCCCCTAAAAAGTCTTGTAAAAAGTTTGATTTAGAAATTTTCAGAATCTGAAAGAAATTAACATAATTTACTATCAAAAATGCAAGTGCAACAATTCAAACCCTCACGTTTCAGTCATTGGTAGTAAGATGGCAATCAAAAACTTCTACTGGAAGAAAATGTCCAAAAAATTGCACGTGCATTGTTAAACTGCCAAAAATTTTATTTCTTTAAGATCCACTTATAAGATTAAATAAGGTCACTTATAGTAAACAGAAAAGAAATTTATCTGAAATGAAATTTGAAATCGTCTTAAAGGTAATTGATGATTAACATATTATTTTCTTTAGCTTGAAGATGTTTAGAATTGTGTTACTTAGGCCTGACATTTCTGACAAAAAATATAAAGTACTTTCATAAGACGTTGAAAAGTAAATAATGTTTTAAAAAGCAAAATTACATGTGCTGAGATTAGACAGTTTTAAGAGTAGCGCTTCTAAAAACACATTATTTTTATTGAGTAAGCTCGAAAAAGTGACATCTAAAAGGCATAGAATGAAAACTTTAATTCATTATCTATCTATGTATCGTTTAAGGAAAAAATTCTTTCATTAGACCGGCTCCTTCAATGGGCCATCTCTATGTATTTGTTATTATTGACATCTGATGCAAACGACTGATTGCGTAGTATACTTAATGAGTTCAAAATTCTCCGTCTAGACTGAGAGTTAATTCACATTCGAAATTCTCTCACAATATTTTTTTTTTATTTTCTTTTAATTTTGCGCGTGATATACAATAAGAAAAGGTTTTTTAAAGTTTAAAAAAAAAATTTCCAAAATATCGCCGAAACAAACAATAGTAGAATGGGAAAATCCCATGTATTCAAAATTAAAACAGTATATACTTATCTTTGAACAAAAAATATAGTCGAGGGGAAAATGTTCGTCAGATACCGGCTGAATTCGAACCAAGAACCACCGGGTTCATAAAAGGATGCTCTAATCACTATAGTTGTATACCCCAGTTCCAGGAGAGTTGAGAGATTTATGCAGTATCATCGAATAGATTTTTAGTATCGCGTATTATTTTATTTTATAATCGTCGTTGAACAGCGAACCCAAATTGGGGTTTACGACCACTAATATTCAACTCCGTAGCCTTGCAATTTTGAATCCAATCTAGAAGACAAGGGAACTCTTGGATCTTGATCCAAGTATTGGGAGAAATTTGCTTTCGTGGAGGACTCGTAGATGGAACTAATCCGCATTTGTGTTACATGGAGAGGAAGACCACGAGAACCTCTCACAGTTAGCCTGACGGCAAAGGGGTATCTAACCCATGATCCGTTTACCGCTGAGGATCTTTCACGTCAGCACTATGGTCGGTGAAAGCTGGATGCGAAATTCATATCGACCTGCCATTTCTGGGATTCGAACCTAGCTCACCTCATCGGAAGGCTAACGCTCTATTCCCTGAGCCATCGCGGCTCAGTATCACGTGTTATTTAAAGTTTGGTGCTGCATAGCTGGACATAGCACTTTCAATTCCCTTAATAATCGAGCATCTGCCTCTTTGTACTAATAGGCAAATGATAAATTTACTTAACTGTATAGGAAATTTAAGCTTCATAATAGGTTATTGATTATATATTTAAAATTGTCAATTACTTAATGAAAAACAAACGCTTTTCTAGGAATATGAAGAGGAAGCTCCATCTTCTGAGAATTATATCCATGATGAATTAGACGACATAAGATCTTCTGAAAGTAAAGAGGATTTGGATTGGCTAGATCTCGTCAACAAAAACCTGCGAAAGATTGCAGCCCGAAAGTTCCCCTACATACGCTCAACCTTTAAAAGAAAATTCTATGACTACCTACCTATACAATATCCTTATTCCTGGGAATAAGAAAAACAAATTATTATTTTGTGAAAGTATTATTTTGTTAAGATTGAATATTTTGTAATTAAACCTGTGTATCGGACTCTCTAGTCAGTTGGAAATTCTAGTCAATCAGCTCCCGTTCCTTGCCCTCAATCATGAATGTATTATTTTGTTTTTGTAAATTAAATTATTTTTTAAAACTGTCTTAAATTTCATGTAGATTAGATGTTTTTAATATAATTTTTTACCATTTCCATGTGCTAACAAATTGAATGTATCGATATTATTATATCTGATACCAATTAAAACTGGACGAATTACCTTAATACCAGCTGTGCGTTTTTTTCCAAAATTACTTAAGCAGCTTTGGCTTGAATAATAGTATGGGAATTTTTTACGCTTCTCCAAAACGAATTAACACCACTTCTTCATTAATTTTGCTTTTAACAATAGCTCTTTTTTATTTTAATTCGAACTTTTTACCAAAATTATGTAATCATACTTGGCGTCACTAATTTGTTGGCGATATTTTCGCTTCTTTGAAAGGAATTAGTACCATTTCTTATTTTTTTAATTCGTAAATTGTTTTTTTCTGTTTTAATTAGTACTAATTATCAAAATTAATTACGCAACACTGGTGTCAATAATCACATGACAATTTTTTACAATCTCCTAAACGAATTTGCACCATTACTTTATTAATATTGCTAATTAATATTATTTTCTATTTCAATTGGTACCCATTACCAAAATTAAGTAGGTAAGCATAATTGGAGTCAAAAATAGTCATACGAGCTTTCACTTTTCTTCTAAATGGAACGAACTAGTACCAGCTCTATATTAATTTTCATTTTTAGAGCATGACGTAGTTTTTTTCAATGAATAATATTATCAAAATTAATTAGGCATCATTGGCGTCTGGCGATTTGCCACTCTTCTATAATTAAAAAACAGTAACATATGGAGTATAATTGGTAACAGTTTAACCTTTTTAATAGAACTGAGCTACTGATTTCAAAGGAGTATAAATGAGACTTAATGACTGTTTATCTGGGTCCTGAAACCTTTCTCTTTGTTTTCTAGAGAACACGGGACCTTGAAGAAAAATATCTAATTTTTGGTAGCATTAAAATGTTACTCTTTTGTTATTTTTATTTTATCTAGCTATATCTAATAACTTTTTTTTTAATTCCCATCATTCATAATTTTTTTTTTTTAAAGTTTGACATTAAATCTAGTGCAAGCTCCTAAAACGAAGATCGCGTAAGAAAGAAAAAATGTCTTCTTCAACGGATAAATAATCATTATTTGTAGCAAAAAAGTTTGCAAAAATCGTGAAAACAGTATTTAAAATGCAATAATTTCCAATCAAATTGGAATTTTGAAAAAAAAAATTCGCGTTCAGTTTATAAATGAAAGGGCCCTTTCAGCACGTCATATTTGCCAATAGAACAGCCTCTTGGTATTATTTTTCTTCAAAAAGAGTGATAGTATATAATTATCGATTGTTAATTTTATTATTTTTTATTCTTTCATACTCCTTGTAGATTTTCCCACACACCTATTTCCGCAACAAAAAAATGCAACTTTCCCTAATCGTCATTTTTGTTCTCTAAAGGGTTGAAAATTTGAAATTCTTCAGCGAATAATATTTTGAAAACGCAGCAAATTTTCAAAAGCTTTTGAATAAAAACAAATTACCTTTCAAAATTTGTACATCAAATAAAATATTGCATGTGAATTTTTTTCAGAATATTTTGTTAACAGTTTCATTTTCTGTAACAGCAGAACAATTTAAAAAAAAAAACGAAAAATACGAAATTTTAAAATGTGAGTGGATTTTAAAAAAATATTCAGGTAGAACTAATTTATCTCGCAATCGTTACTTCCAGTGACATTACTCACGAATTTTTTATTTGATTTTTTCTTCTTTTTTCAGGCTGACATTTTTTCCAAATTAATTGAGAGACTATTGGGAAACTTAAATAAAAACAATCAATAGAAAAAAAGACAAAGAAAACCAATAAGCTCGTCATAGGATCGCAATTGTGAGACTTAAATAAAAAACAACCAATAGAAAACAGACAAAGTAAACCAAGAAGTTCACCATAGGATCACCGAATCAGTCTTAATTATTGTTTAACATTTGATATAAAAACCACATTGGAGCATATACTTTCATAATGAAAGAAGCTAACTACATTAAGTTCACCGATGGATCTTACTACTTATGTTAACTCAAATACCTCTGTCAATCATACTGAGCCATCTCGCATTCGAAAGTTCACCTGAGCTTAGTGATCTCAGATTAAATGGACAATAACTAGTTAAAACTACCTGATTTATAATTATTTTTGATCAGTATTAAGATCAGAAATGACCTATCCCCACATCTCTGGCAAATTTTCTTCAAGCGCCTAAAACTTATCAACTGGATGGTGTTCACAGTTGACCAGACTCTTGACTGCAGGTCCAGAAAATCCTCGAGGGCTCAATGTCGGTCCCTCCATGTAAAGCTTAGTATAGCTCTAATGAGAGTAAATCTCAAATATCACCGACTGCAGAGGTTTTCCGAACTTCATTTGCTCCTCAAATTCTTCGAGTTTATTGCTTTCCAACTACAAGCTCCAACTAAAAATAAGCTAAGAGGCATCACTTGCTTCGCTATTAAGATATTTCAAAATAGTTTCTTTTATATTTAAAGCCGAGCCGACCGGCCTGTGTAGGGGGCAGGGAACTGTCCTTTCATCAGAAAGACTCTGGGTTCGAATCTCGGGCAAGGCATGGATGTGCTTCCCTTCTCTGTACTATCTGTTCTCACTGCGGGAGTGACGTTGACCCACATAATATGGTGCCCCTGAAAGAGAGGCCAACAAAATCGCCCAGTAAATGCCTGAATTGACGGATGTTAACACAGGTGGGCATTGGAAAAAAAATATTTAAAGCCCAAAGAATAGATGAAGAGACACATGCCTAATATGCATAGTTACCAATAAACTTAAATAATTGAAGTATGATAATAGATATTTTAGATCTGTGATGGGGGATGGAAAATAACATGCTATTCCCCATCGCATTCCGTCCCCCTATCCCCCATGCTAAACATTCTTAATCTTTAATCATTTTATTACTGAAAATTTTGATTAAGCATTTCTTTTGTTACCATTATTTAATGAGAAGTCTATTTTTAGATTTTCCTCTAATGTTGGAAAGTTTTATCAACGTTTGGACAAAAAAGGGGTTTTAAATTTCTTTCATTGCATCCATAAAAGGAATATCAAAAAAGCAATTCTCCGTTTCTCAGTTATACTTTTTGCTGGACCATTTGTTTTTAATGGGTAGTTAAATTTTAGAGTTTCATTTAAAGAGCAATAATTTTAAGGTTTAGAATGAAAACGTGCAGAATACAGATTCAGTTTTTGAAGTAATAAAAAAAGAACAACTTGTAAAATTGCGTAGCTTTTATTAAAAGAAACAGCAAAAAAAAACTTCTTTATTCTAAACTGGATTGGAAAAAGAACAAACAACATATTTTAAACATCAACTCATTTTTTTAAACTTCAAAATAGTTCTATTTATATTACTTAAAGTATCGTATCATGATTTTTTTTCAAAAGCATTAAAAATTTTTCCCTTTTATAATCATAAATGATAGTTTCAGATAATGATAGAAAATGCGATTTTTAATGCGATTTTGCCACCATTTTCGAATTGTAGTGACCCTCATTTTTAATGTATTGTTGCCACCATTTTTGGTGGTGAGGTAAACAAAAAATTTTTACAGTGCATGTAGTAATAATTTTTATTTAGTTTTTATGTTATAGTTTCATATTGATTTATTCATTTTTTCGTTTGTTTGTTTACTGACAAAGCATATTTTCAAGATCGTGGGAATTAACTAGATGGCTTCGTTTCAAAAACATTTCGCTTAAAAAAATAAGAAAAATTTCCGTAATATATTCAAACTAATTCTTTCAAACAATTGTTATTTTGTCAATTCTATGTATATTTTTTACACGATATTCAAATTTCTGTGCTTAAAAAAGGCATTTAATTTACCTTAAACGCCAAATATCGAGGTAACTAGACACCAAAATTTTTTCATGTTTTAAAAATATATGTAGTTTAAAAGAAAATAAACTCATAAATTCAGAAAAGTATTTCTTAAAAAAAATTCAAATAATTAATCTCAGTTAAAAATCTTAGTGTTCATTAATTATTTTATAAAATAATAATAAATTTTAATTTTTTGTCTTTTTTTGTATGTTGTAGGCACTGTTTTATCTCTTTGCACTAGATTAATGTAATAAAAGGCAAGAAAACTATCTAACAGATAATTTAGTATCGAATTTCTTATCTTTATAATTTTTCATTGAAATTAAAAACCAGGCAGAATTCATAAATGTGACGAAGATTAATCCAAGAACATTTTTTCTCATGCATCTGCTTCGCAAAGGCATGTAAATATTGTCGCATTAACTCCAGGATGAAAAAAATAGTTTTGAGATTGAAATACTGAAATTATTTCAATCACTATAAATTTTTGGTATATAAGGACAGATAAGATTCGTCAAAATGCCACAATAAGCATAAGTTGTTTGACCTGATACTTTAAGCTTTTGAAGTTTTTAGCAGGAAATCGAATTTAAGAGTTCTTTTAATTTAAGGCCATTTGTTTGAGCATTAGCTTTATTAGAATAATTTAAATCATTTTGTGTGCAAAGAGATTATGAATACGAGAAATTGCATCGACAACAGAGCCACTGACGTTGTGCATGTTAACTGAAATTCGGGCTATAAAAATTAGTCGATTTATTTGTTTTGGAGACAGATCATCAAATTTTTGAGTGAAAGCATGAACTAGTGGTTTGTGATCAGTAAAAATCATAAAATAACTCTCCTCTAAGTAGATGTAGCGAATATATATAATTTCAAAAAAAATCGCCAACATTTTGCGATCACACGCGTTATATTTCTAGTCGGCAGGACTGAGTTTTCTTAATTAGAAACCTAAAGGTTGCCAGTTATTATTTTTACGTTGTTGAACACACACTTCTATCGTCAAATTGGAGGGATCTGTAATTAAAAATAATGCTCCTTCAGGATCTGGATGGGCTAAATGTGTAACATCTTTCAACGACATCCTAGGGTTCTCAAACGCTAGATTTGTTTTGGTTGTCCAAATCAATGAAGTTTTATCGTTT